CCTAAAATGCAACCCAACACATGTGAGCACACATTTTGCATCACTATAAATGTAAAAATGGCTGTAATAGCTGGAGGACAATAAGCTCCTAAGCACTACTTTAAATTCCCAATTTGCCGAACAATAAAGATCCTGCTGATTCAGTGGATCCCTTCAATCAACATTTGATTGAGAGGTTTGCCTCATTGATCTGATGGTTCTCAAAGGACACTTTTATTTCTGCTGATGCCGAGGAGTGCGTGATTAGCCATCCTGTTCGGTTTCAAATAAAACGCCCCTGTTTATGCAGGATAGACTACAGTTTACAGCTTTTATATTAAAAACTGGTAACAACACTGATTATGTGCTCTTCAAATTTGAGGCAGAAAACGAACAGAGAGTTTAGACAATGAGTTCTCTGACATGTTTAGAAAATTAATATCAAATAAAAAATATTTATGGACACACATACACACCTACATAAAGCTGTCACACAGAAATAAAAGCTGCTTCGCTTCACCTCAGATTTCTTGTGTTTTACTGCCCTCCGTTGCCACACAGATTCATGCAGCCAATAATTCAGATTCCTTCATTATACTGTCTCCATATCTATGATAATAAGCCATGCTTGGAGATACACATAAAAAAAAACTCCTTACTGGAAGCACTTTTGACCTTTATCAAACATCACTATATGGCACTTATCATTATTCACTACCTCTACCAGCTAAGACTGCATCTGCTGAGTTCTCAATAATAAAGAATTGTATTAGTATACCATATATTAGGTGCTGTTTGATATGTATTAAGATCAGACTGTTCTTCTATACATATACTGTATGCCTCACAGTAAATTTACATTTTGTGTTTTGTTTATTTTAGATATATCGCAGTTAAATCTCTGTCTATACTACCCCACTGGTCTGTTTTTCATTCTTTTTTATATCTTTTGCTATTGTATCTGGTTAGACGCTGATCTACATTTAACTGGTATTTACTTTACACAATGACCACAAAGTTAAGTTAAATCTAATCTAATGAAATTAATTAAAGTTGTTTTTATTTTTTATCTCGGTATACTATATATATTCTAAACAAACCAATCAATCAGAGCCAAGAAGCTATCTTTCTCAGCTCTGATTGGTTGTTCTCATTCAGACCCGGTGAATTCTTGCAAATGCTACTAGGAGCACTAAGACAAGCTAAAGGAACATAATTCACAGATTATCTGTCTCAAGAACTACTGTCAGGATATAGTTAAGGTTTTAGCAAATATGACAAAAAGTTATTTTTTATAAAAATGACTTACTGCAGCTTTAACTGCATCGTTAGAGTACTCCTTTAACAAGACAATCACATCGCTTTTTGCTGCAATGACACAATTGGTGTGAAGATTCAATTGATGTAATAGATGTAATATCTCCAAAACGGTGCTAAATAGCACTTAATGTGGCTCATATGAGAACCACTTTTGCTACTATACAGTATCTATTTTTAAAAGTGCTATATAACCTTTATAGATATGTGCTACTGTATAAAGAACCATTAGAGGTGCAATATAGCACTATATTGCTTCAACCAGAATGGTGCTAAATATTACCCAAAAGTGGTTCACCATGTCTTACCTGTCTCTCATACAGGCTGTCTTTTTTTATCCCACCACCAACCCATTCTCCTCCTTTGATTATATATGTATTAGATTAGAGTAATAAATAATAACTGCACAGGGCTGATATCACCACTACCTTGATATCAACGAACTCGGGTTGATATCACCCTGCTGCATGCAAACCAAACCAACTTTCATTAAATCCTACTTTGTCATCGTCATCATCAATCATCATCCATACAAAGTCAGTTGATAACAAGAAGCTCAAACTTGGGAACTTTCTGTAGATGTTACATTTACTTTCATATATCTGCTATGAATTGGAATTTAAGAAAGTAAAGAATCATTTTTGCTTTGTGAACAAGACTACTACAAAGGCAAACGCTGTTGTTTGAATCACTTTTGTGCTTTTTTGAGGTCAAATAGAAGAAGCTGGAGTAACTGCATTGGAGTGTGTACAGATGGAGCTGCAGAGCTGACAGGCAGGCTTGTCTCCTTTTGGGAGAATGGAATATTCTCTTAGACATAGGGGGCTTTCGGGGCAAAAGGTTGAGAACCACTGCTTTAATGTGTTATCCTCAGGAAATACACTGTATGTAGTATGTATGTAGTGTTTTCATTTTTCCCCAAACTAAACTAAGCTGAAGAACCAGTAGAGTAAGTCTAAAGAACCATATAGGGGCTTTACAGGTTGTCTGTATGGTGCTATATAGCACTTCAACAATCCAAAAGAACTACTGCTCTCTTTTCCAGCGTATCATAATGTATCAGGTGAGCTGTGTGAACGGAGATATTTCGCAACCGAGGGCTGCAGATTGCAACATCTCAGAACAAGTAATGTGAGCTCATCTAAAAGCTTTAACTGTTAAACTCAACTCAACTGATATACCCCACGGAGCATATTTTAGACAAACAACATGCAACAATGTATTTATTTCTCACTGTATCACTGGGGCTCCACTTGCACCTTTGCTTTGAGATATGTACCTTCACATTCACAAACACCAGTGGTAGACTATGTTGTAATGTAAAGGTTTTGTGAGGAGTGCATCATCAGAACAGAACAGAGTGGAGGTAGTGACTGAAAAAGCCAATGATCAATACAGTTGAAAACCTTAACTACAACGAGGTTGTCTGTGCTCTTAAACTTTAAAACGACATAAATAAATTAAGCGCATGGGGGGAAAAGCATGTCAGATCCCTCAAATGTGTGAACTCTCGTATCTCGTAGGCTTTTATAAAATTTTCTTCAAACAAATGAAAGACTGCTGGTGTGACTTGCATGAAAATGCTGGTCAGGTGGTGCAGAAGCAACCCCCAGGGAGAGGCAGACCTTTCATTTGACCTGGATTAAATATTGATGGGCTGCGATAATAGAGGATAGAGCACAAATGTCTATGTCACAGCACAGTGAGGGGGGGCTCAATCCTTTGTTAATGAATCTTAGGCGGGGGATTTATTTATGTATGTTTTTTCGGGCCCTGAGATGAGTCGTAAAACGTCTATTTAGAAATGAGATGTTAATCGATTTTGATGCATCTGTACTTTTTCACCCTTCCCACACTCATTAGTGAGATTGTAAAACCATGTAGGCCACACTTGCACAGCTGCACTAAAAGTTAACCTTCAAATTTAATTAAAACCCTAGACAAGAAAAAAACGCTTCCCCCTTGACTGATGTGTGATTAGTTAGTAAAATCTCCAAGCAAATTAGTCATGTGAACTAGACAGCCACATTTATTCTGCATCCACGCTGATTATGAAAAAGCTGTGTTACTGAATATGGCAGGATCACAACATCCAGACAAAAAGGATTCACGTGCATATATGAATAATCTACAAGAAAATTAGGATTTAAGGATTATGTAAATCTGTTGTTTTGGGTAGTTTTTGTTTGTCCCAGCTGTGTTTTGCATTTTAGTGATATCATTGGTTTACATGAGGGGGCAGTAACCACTTATTTAGATGTTTTTCTTGTTACAAAAGTCCTACTCTTTCCTTAACAATAACCTTACATTAAATTACTGCAGTACTGGACAAGCAGAGTCATTTTGATCACAGCTAAACTGTTCAGTCTTCTTTTTATTGTATGAATTAGAGTTGGTGTGATGGGATTAAAAAAAAGTGTGGGCTTACACTGACATCTAGTGGAAGATGTTTGAGCTTGCAGCGTATTTAACCTAAAAATATCCACATTTAATCCTTGTATTTTGGTGAGTTTAGTATAGTTACAGTACAGTTAAAGAGTATAGACAACTTCTTAAGATGTGTAAACAGGTGTGATTTTTAAAGAGTAAAAAGGATACATTTTAAAGCAAATATAGTGGCCAAGACTATTTCCAGATCCTTTAAAATGTACTTAAATTTACAAGTAATCTTCTGTTTTTCCTGGAAAAAGGGGCAGCATATTTAAATGCTTTATTACTACTGCAATGCTGTACACAGGTAAGGAGGAACAGGCACATATAAAAGTCAACCAATGGGAACATCTGCACACATACAGTGAAGACTACAGTGGTATACAAGATAATAAACCCAGTAATAAAATGCACACAACATCCAACATCTGGATGAAGGTAATAAATCCTATCCATAAAGCATTATTATTACACCAAACACTGGAATGTTTCCAATTTTATATGCTATGTTGGCTATGCATGAACTGAGAGCAGTATGTTTTAACACAATTTGTACTTATGTTTCACATAAATTAGACCTTTGAGTTAGACCAAAAATTCCAATATAATAATTTACTTATTAGGGATTTGGGTGGGGCAGTGTAAAATGTAATGCTGAGGTGTGGCCAAACTGAAGTAATGCGTCATTTTCTGTAACTTTTGAAACATAAGCAAAAGTTTCAAGGTGATAAAACAGCATTCAGTATATTTTTCTGGGCTGTTGAAGAGGGCACATAGTCTCCAGGGACAATAGTCACATTGATTATTATTTCAAGAAGAAATAATAGCTGCAGAATTTTCTCATCCGTGTTGGAATCAGAATTTAAATGAATTCATGCGATTCATGCTCATCACTGTAACATCTGTGCCTCTAACATTATTCACAAAGTGCGCTCTTTTATTTGGTTCACGTTAGGGGTCACACTGTTCTGCGATTTGAGCTGATGTAAAACTTTTAATAGCTAACTGCTGCCAACCTCTGAGCCGACCTTCACAGGCTGTGATTGAACCGGCGCTGGGTGGGCGTGAGGCGCTCTGCTGGAGGTTACACAACAATGTGATGAGAGGGGAGTCTGCTGGGATCGTAATTGGAGGGTTTCCGTTGAACAGGTTTGATTAAAGATGTAAAGATGTCATGTAGATGTGGAACTCTCTGATTCCAAAGAGACAAACTGGACAGGTAATGAGTTGAAGCTTTATTTTCTCCTCTTTCATGCAGATACTCCTGCTCAAGGACATATTGCAGCATCTGTCCTTGCTCCCATATGCTGCATCACCATACTTCATGTGTTTTATGCTTAAAAAAGGATCTAATGTGCAGTATTTGCCGTTCTAACATCTCTAACATCGACACTGTAATGTAGCGAAATAAAGCAGTATCTCACATTAAAGGATACATACCTTCAAATACTCTTACGGAGATACATGTGATCAATTTCTAATAAATTAATGCTTTTTGTATTAAGATCAGGCAGTTGAGATTTGGCGTTTTTACTTCAATCTGCTTTATCTCTACGTAAGGTAACAAATCCCTTCCCATAGTGCCTTCTGATAACCCCTAAATGAGGAGTGTAAAACTCTGGACAAGGACTCTACTGAAAATATAGAGGCAAAAGTCAGTGGAGCATTGTACACACACTGGAAATACACATAAAAAGACAGCAAAACATCTTCACAATAGTCGATACAAAGTTGACAGCATTCTAGGCAACTAATTAGATGCAAATTTGTATCCTTAACATGCCATAAGCTGTCTTGCAGGCTCAAAACAATGTCACAAATGTGGCAATGAAATAATTTTTCAGTCAGAAACACACTATTGTACACCTCCCACAGTCTCTTGCATTATTTCTGTGTTGATATATTCTACTGTCAATGTGGAAAAGGATCCAAGATACTTGAGTCTCACTTCTCCCCAGCTGTCGCCTGTCCTTCATTACACCTTTTAAACCTTCACGTTGTGTAACACTGAGGATTTCCTGTAAGCATCTACTCCTTTTGAACAGTTTTTTTTCTGTTTACTCGAGCTGCAGGAGATCACTAATCTCTGACCGTTCCTCTCAGCTCTGTCTGGGTAGATAATTATTGTAATCACAAATAAACACTTGACACAGTTGTCAGGCCTCGCCTTGCAGTGACAGATTTCGTCTGTGAATCTCGTTGAGGATAACATCGCTGCTGGAGCCGTCAGATATTCCACTGTCCGCAAACACAGAGCCTGTGGGGGACCAACACAATCATTTAGTATTGTATAATTTAACACTGTCTAAAATACAGGTGAGGTGAGGTGCAAACTGCAACCTGTAAACATACCGCTACTACTTGTGCCATCACTGATCATAGAGGAGCTTCGAGAGGTCAAGTGGAAAGCTGAGGTAGTTCCTTTTCCAACCGACATATTCCTAGTGTTCTGGGTGGCTGTCCGACTCCATTCTGCAAAAAAGTGTTTTTTTATTGAAAAATAAATAATATATATTCATTAATATTAGCATGAAAACATGCATGTCTTACTTCTGTTTGGTGGATAATCATGCTCTAAGGAGTAAAATTTGTGCCACAAATTTGGCCAATCAGGTGCTAAGGGTTTTTAAAGGTGCAGTGTGTAACATTTAGGAGGCTATGTTTTCATTAGTATTATTATTAGAGGTATTATCAGAGGTATTAAGAACACATTTAGGTTCCAACCTGAGTTTTCGGCCAATCGCAGTCTCCCGCAGCAAAGATAGGTTCTCCACTGCCTACGGACATTCTCCTTTACAGCACAGTGAAAAACAAATACAAGGAAACCTATACAGGACATAAATAGTAAGAAATTAGGTTTTGGGATACATTTGTGTATTAAGGTTTGGCTAATGTTGATAAACTCACATCAGTTTTATCATTATGTTTTCTACAATGTGGAAGTACAACCCAATATATTTATACAAGGCTCACCTTGCAGACTGTTGAATATAGAGAAAAGGTAAACAAAGGGTAGGTAGAGAGGTCCCCAGGCGAACAGGGCGAACCCCCAGGTCAGGCCCAGGAGGATGACGAGGCCAGCGATGCTGCGCACATCCGTCATCACTCCCCTGTTAGGAGACTGGTTCTGGGGGTTTTGCTTCTTGATCCGGGCCAGTTGGACCATAACCATGATGAAGACCAGCAGGCACAAAGAAAAGATCAGGACGAAGTAGGCCACCACGCCCACATAGAAGGCGATGTCATTACGCAGCCAACAGCTACAGGGGGATAGAAAATAAATACGCAATATTTAGAGGCTAAATTTTAAAAATACATTCTTGCTGTATTCAAGGTGGTTGCTACATACCTACCAGGGTGTTGCAAGATACTTTTCTTAGAGTGTATGTTAGCAGGGTGTCACTTTAAATAGTAGTGGGTACTGTTAGGGATAATTCATTTCAATATATTTGAATACACATAGATGTGAACGCCTGCATTTTATAAAGCTAATACACACAAAGATAAAAAAACAGACACATTGTCTCATCTGCAGTTTTTGGGGAGCCACCTCGAGCTGCAAACACCTGGCCGGGGGAGGCAAGAATGTGTTATCTTCCCAAGGTCGGAGGCATCCAGATCTGACCGTTTGCTCTAGTTCATATAGTAATATTAGTGTTAGGGAAAGCAAAGCGGGAATTACTCCATATACTCCATATAGTCCACCAATCACATTGCTTTGCTATAATTTAAAAATATTGAGCCCTTATGTAACCGTTGATCCAGGACTCTTTTTGGGGGCGAGGAAAGCACAGGACACTCCGCTGAACTTGGTGGGCTTCCCTCAACCAACAAGATTCCTTGGCAAGTATTTATTTTAATTATACAATTTCTAAATAACTTTCTTAACTTGAGAAGAAGTTGTTTGTTCTCAGTCCTAAGAAGTCATTTTGATACACGACAGTACCATGTTGTTTTGTATGTTTATTCAGTGTAGCAAAGTCATTGCCTGTCAATGTGAAAGAGGTGCAGTATCTGATTTGCATTTCATTTGCATGTGATGTGCGTGTTTATGTGTGCTTTAAGCTGAATGAAGCTTTTCATGCTTGAAAAGCTTGAAAATATTTGGTTGGATTGTCTCTCTCGCCCTCCAGTGGCTGAATAAGTCAACCACAAGTGTAATGACAATAAAAAAGGTTCTGGTATATGAAGGTTTAACTTACAAGTCATCTGAAGTGCCGTCTGTGTATTTTCCATATGTGACCAGGCCATAGTTGTCTTTGTTCACTGATATCACAACAATCACCACAAAAAGAGGAATTCCTGCAAAGATCAGATGTTAAACAGCAGAACCATCTCAGTCTATTCAATAAAATGGTTTGAGAAAAATAGATGAAATCAGTGTATTTATTCATACATTTAATAGAAAAGGCATTGGTTGATAGAAACATAGTATATTGTATAACTTCTCAGTTAAACATTTGATCATTTTGGAGCTCAGTGTTACTCACCCCAGCCCATCAGCGAGAACTTGAGCATGTATCTGCTGAGGTAGGGAGTGAACACCTGGATGACGCTCAGGTACATGTGCAGGGCCTCAAGCCCCGCCCAGGTAAATGATGTCAGCAGGAAATAGTGCAGGAAGAAGGCAGTACTAATACACAGCCCGATCGCTGGGTAAAGCGCCAGCCAGCCATCCAGCAAGAAGACCAGGTTGAGGAGGAGGAGGGACATGCAGAGTTGAACCAGGATCTTGGCAGGAATGTCCCGGAGCAATTTTCTGCGTAGAACAAGTTTGTCAGGATTATTATGATTAATTAGCCTGGTTATAAGGTTTCTTGAATGAACCTCAGATTTCAAGTAGTCTTGGCTTTGTAAAGACGTAGATTCTTACTGAAATGAAAGATATGTCAGTAGGGTGACAGCGAGAAAAACAGCAGAGATTCCACAGCCGATGTAGGTGATAAAAGTAAGAATTTGTGCCTGCTTGCGGTCAGTTATTTCTTCTCTGGACAAATCCTGTATTCATTATGGGGTACACACAAAAATATACAGTGAACACACATTATACAACAGCAGGCTCCTGAAAGCGTTATCATTTCTCACTTTAACCACGTTGAAAAACATTCATTTAACAGTCCTAAAATGTCCGTTAAATACATTTTAGTTCATTTAATTCCCTATGTACATGTTGTGATTTGAATTGTATTGATTCTATTATTGTCATATCCCAGACATACAAACAAACATGCTCACAAACCAGCAGTATTGCAAAGGATGTAAGATGGTTGCAGCTGCAAGTTGTGTCTTCCGGTGTGGCATTGACAAGAAAGCAGCCAGCAGAGCTCCAGCCTCCTCCACCATCTAAACAAAGGAAACACAGCAAGGAAAATTAATACCTGTGGCAATTTGGCTCTTAACCAACTCGATTTGGCGTGCATGCACTCACCATTTAGAGTGGAGTCCCAATATACACAGGAGGCTGAGTTGTTTGCCTGCAAACCAAGAAGCAATTAGAAGAAGAGGGGCATCACAGAGGAACTTTGTGTGCTCTTTCAACACTGATTTTTCAACATTTATTTTAGTTTATCTGATGGTAATTTACATGTAACTCTTTATTTTGAAAGGTTCACTGAAAAAATTGGCAGATTTTCTGTTATACAAAAGGACTGTGAAATTCCCAACTGTATAATAAATAGTAGGCTACCAATAAACAATAATCAGAATGTGCTGTTTATCAGAACAATAAACTATGTTCCATTGACCTTGTCTGATCATTCAAATGTTGGTACAGTTATGCATGATTCTTTTCTGTATGGGTTCATGAAAATGTAATGATTTTCATGCATGTGCAAACTTACATGTATGGGGTTGATGTTTTGGATGGTAAACTCAATGTTCTCAGACAGGTTGCTTATAGACAGATTGGCCACACTGGAGCCCAACACTGGACTGACAATGGTTTGGTTATTTAATGCTGCATCCTGTGAAAAACATTATGAAATCATTGAATTGAATTAATTTCCTTATAGCAATTGCTCAGATTAGAAAAGTTTTAAGTACGTCTTAAATCATTAAATTAACACCAAAGAAACTTTGTAAAGTACCTGGAATAGGGCACATGTGGTGTAGAAGGTGAACTGGACCCTGTTGGCCTGGTGCTGCTCCCAAGGACTGAGACCAGAGGTGAGGGAGGAGGGCAAGAATACAGACCCTAGAGCAGAGTTTGGCCTCTTGTAGTGGGATCTGCTGAGGGTACGGAGCTGGACACATACAAATGGTTAATGGAAAAGTTTGGCAATTCCTGTTTTAAGGTTGGGCAATGCATTTTTGTCACTTTATGTCACAGTATTGGCATTAGAAGACATTAGGCCTCATGCAAGAACCTTTTCTGTGAAGTTCACTCAATGTTCCACGTCAATTTCACCAAAATCTTTTAACTGCACAAAAACACTGTTCATAAGGGGGTGCATGATATTTGATCATTAGCTAACTTATGCACCCTAAACTCACAGTAGATGATTTTACACTGTTGGTACAACACAGGATGTTACTGCATGAAGACCCTGAGGCAGCTGAGTGTGGAGTAAGAGAATATTCCTACCAACTACTGAACTGCTTATTGTCTGTTCGCATAGGTGGTTCTTGTATGAAGCCAATTTGTTCTCATGAAGTACTTTATCTGAGCTACCTCGACATTATCAGGGCTGAAAATGTTAACAGATGTTGTTGGAAAGTTGTTCCCATCAACTGTCCTCACTGCCAGAACCAACGAATTAGAAGAGATGATCTCACTGTCACCAGTGACAACCAGCTTAAGACCCAACTCATCTATTGTCCGAATCAGCCTGTCAGCAGGACACAAGACAAAACATTTTAGAAACATCAAATGTATGTGAATACATGTTCCTATGTAGGTGAGGGTTTGTGAGTTGTACTTGTTGGCAGATGAAGAGAGGGCCAGTGAGTCACCCTCCATCAGGTTGCTGATTATTTCAATAGCCTTTTGTCCCACTGCCTGAGAAACAGTGGGGCCATCCAGAAGCTTCTCTAACTGTCCCACCAACTGTGCCACCTGCAACATCCATCAAATTATAAAGTTTACTTTCAAAATGACATATCTATCTACTGAAACAAGTGACTCGAACTCCAGTTACACAGAGGCTGACAAATAGTTAAATGGAAACAAATCACTTAACTGTTTTTCTCCTTGTACATGAGTTAGAAGTTGGTAAAACAACTATTGCATTCAAAAAAATGCAGTTAATTATCAACATAATTATCAATATAAACTATATATTGACAAATTATGATTTTTCTATTGCTGCTTATTGTTTATTTACATTTGAGTCTGCCAATGGACAATAGTGACTAATAGACTAATAGACTAATAGTGTATACTTTAACAGATCACCTGAGAGGAGTTGAGCTGAGACGCATCCTGTGTTTGATCCAGCAGTTCATTTGCTTGTTCTTCCTGTGCCTCTTGGCTTTCAGTTGTCTCTGCAGGGTTTGTGGAGGTAGTTCCAGTACCTTGGTAAAGAGTAAGTGAAAAAAAAAAAAAATCTAGCAAAAGATAAGGTCTACTAGTCAAGGCTTTTATCAAGAAGTCCTATTAGATCACCTGTTGGATTTGCTACACAGAAAAGCATTCTATACCAGTAATAAATTATGCATTTATTACTCACAGTTGAACTTTTTAAGTAATTTAAACTACAAAAAAGAAAGATTTCAGCCAATTTGACCAACCATTTGGTTTATTGTAGTTTGCAGTTTATCGACTAAACTGTATATGTTGACATATACATACCAGGTTTTGTTGTGGTTGTGCTGGCAAAAATGGTGGTTTGAAGAGTTGTTGTAGAAGAAGTCAAGGAAACCTTTTCAGTAGTCAAGTTAATCTGGGCTGAAAGTGGACCATGTATGGTTGATGTAGCTGTGGGGGTTGGAGTTGTAGCTATATGTTCAAGGGACACTTTAGCTGGAGTAGTTGTTAAATTTACTCCTGGTCCTTTCGTTGTTCTGTTGAAGTCAGCGGTTAAACTGATTGTAGTTGAGCTCAGGTTGAGGTTGATTCCTGCAGTTTCATTATGATTAATAATGGGACTAATGCCAGTGGCAGCTGTGGTGGAGTTGGTGGTTGTTGTGATCTTCTGAGTCACTGTCACTGTAGTGTGATTTCCAGTCTGATTGTTAGGTGGAGCTACTGGTTTACTGGTGTTATGGACAACAGGTGTCATACTGTCCACGGTTAAGTTTTTTGTGGATGCAGTCAACATTGTCATGTTTTCATAAGGAGCAGTTGTGATCTGTGACGTTTCCCTGATGGATGAAGTAGTTACATTGTCTGTGGCTGTTTTGTTTGAAGATACAGTCGTAGTGGTTATATTAATGGCTGTTGTGTCATTTTTGGAAACTGTAGTGACATTGTACACTACTGTGTAATTGGGAGAAGGTTTACTTGTTGTAATTGTACCATTGTGTACAATTGCTTTGGCTGATGTTAGATTGTACTTTGTTGTGTCATTGGGAGAAGGTTTGACTGTAGTTAAATTGTAATCTGTTGTGTAATTGTTGGTGACTGTAGTTGCATTGTACACTACTGTGTGATTTGGAGAAGTGGTAATTGTGCTAATTGATTTATTAAATGTTGTATTACTGTTGTTGTCAACTGTAGTTATGTTGTACTCTGTTGTATAATTGTTAGTGGCTGTTGTGTAATTGTTGGTTGCTGTAGTTGCATTGTACACTACTGTGTGATTTGGAGAAGTTGTAATTGTGCTAATTGATTTGTTACGTGTTGTATTACTGTTGTTGTCTACTGTAGTTACGTTGTACTCTGTTGTGTAATTGTTAGAGGCTGTGTAATTATTGGTGGTTGTACTTGCATTGTTCACCATTGTGTAATTGGGAGAAGGTGTAAATTTACTCATTGTTGCGTTTACTGTTGTAATTGTACCATTGTGTACAATTGCTTCGGCTGTTGTTAGATTGTACTTTGTTGTGTCATTGGGAGAAGGTGTGACTGTAGTTAAATTGTAATCTGTTGTGTAATTGTTGGTGGCTGTTGTGTAATTGTTGGTTGCTGTAGTTGCATTGTATACTACTGTGTGATTTGGAGAAGTTGTAATTGATTTATTACTTGTTGTTACATTAGACAGTATTGTGTGATTGGGAGAAGTTGAAAATGCCTCAGCTGTTGTTACATTGTATTGTGTTGTGTCATTGGGAGAAAGTGTGACTGCAGTTAAACTGGACTCTGTCGTATAATTGTCAGAGACGGTTACATTGTGCACTACTGTGTGATTGGAAGAAGCTGTGAATGTGCTAATTGTTGTGTTACTTGTTGTAGCTGTAGCATTGTGCAGGTTCCTTTTGGTGGCTGTAGTTACATTATATACCACTATGTGACTCTGAGATGCTGTAAATGTACTAACTGTTGTGTTGGTCATTGTAATTGTAGTGTTGTGTTGTTTTCCATAGCTGCCGGCTGTTGTTACATTGTGCTCTGTTGTGTGATTGGGGGAAGTCGTAAATGTACACAATGTTAACTACAGTCACCACAATGAAACTACACACAACTCAGAGAGAAGGACCCCGTGCTAACATCGCATATTTACTAATATCAAACCTAGATCTGAGGCTGAAAACCTACAAACGTTAATCTACAGATAATGGTATGCAACAAACTGGAACTCTATACGCACTAGTGCTGCAATCACAACAATGGTGCGAAACACAGAGTTAGAGCCAGCGCTTGGATTGAACAGGCAGGGGACCTGAGTGACCAAGTACACACTTCCGACAGGAAACAAATGTTTGCACACAGGTTTTTGTTACACTGTTACTGAAGCAAACATTTACTATACCCACTGATCTGAAACAACCACATACACAATGATACAATTGCAAAACTAGTATCAAAAACACTCATTCCGAATAATCTCCACTATGACTTATGTGTCTATCCAATTTAAACAACCACTTCCCATAGCATTCACACTAAAATGCATGATCGTAGAATTATATAGCCTACGGATATTGCATAAAGACCATTCATGCTGCATTATGCCTCTTAGTCATATTAACAGTATGATATCCTGATTGGATAATATATACTCTTCAGCTGGGACGTAACAACTTCATCAGTATATGAATACAGATAGACGAGCGAAATGATATGTTCTCCTACTGTTGCGAAAAAGACAACGTATAGAGCATATAAACACCAATTTACAATTTATTTGCCAACCTGTTACAAACTTCTCCAAAACATACAGTTACACCTTCTCCCAATCCACAAAACAGCCACACACACACTCCGCTAAATCGTTCCGATCTAATCTACTACATAAAGAGCCTACACACAAAGCTCAGTATATAATCTACACTACACAAGCACTACAACTGCTTTCCTGGGAATTATACATACCACAATACCACCGACAAATCAACATAGGAGAGAACGATTACAGTCATACCAAAATTTGTAATAATCGGATAATGCATACAAAACCCAAGTAGCCACGCCAGTCACATATGCACATATTTTTATTCAACAACTATGTCCAATAGAACAGCAGTCAATTCGCAGTGCATAAAGTGAGACTAACTGCCTATTTACTTATTGATCACTATGTTCAAACGCATACTAATTGATAACACAAGACATTGACTTTACTTAAAATTAATGAATTTGAGTTTTCCTGCAAGTTATTAATATTAAGCTAAACAGCAGGATAACTAGAGCATATGGAATTATGATAAACATTTGTGAGATAACTGATTATATGGTCATTACAATTGTAACCAATTCTCTATATTTCCAGCAATACCCTGAATTACCCACAGCTATGTAACCACCAGTTAATACAACAAATTGATAAACTCTGGATATATGTCCGGAACAACTAGTTATGTACATGACAGAATATTGCATGCATCAACAAAAATGATCTCCACATTTGCTAAAATGACGAAAATCGCAGTAAGTTCGACTGAGACTGATTGGTCATGAACTGCGATTGTACGTTTCAACCAAACAATACCGTGGGTTACACCTGGTTCATGCCCAATCACTCAATCGAAAACCAGAAACACACCCAGGTGAGGGAAATAATGCATTAGGCCATGAATGCAGTGCTACCAGGCTCAAATACACAACAGCCCTCTAACAATACACAACATGGAGTGACTTCATTATCGTAAACAATGCAAGCATCTGTGAAACACACCCACAAACAGGAGAAATCGATACACAATAAATACAAATGCAACAGGTAACGCCATAATCTTAGTGTTTTTGGCATCAATTTTT